GGACTTTAAGTTTTTCACTGAATAAATTGAGCCATTTGGGGCAGTACTGAAAAAAAACCTCCTATGAAATATTTTCTATTTGAATGAGAAAAAAATGTGTTATCAAACATGCTGAATAACGCACTTTCAATCCACTTTGCCACTGGATTTTATTGTCTGAAATAGCCAGGCCTCGTTTTGGCCTGGAGCTCTTCGGAGCGATACTCTGGCAGAGAGGAGGCCAGGGGGTGGGGGCATGTAGCAAACCCCGCCCCCTGCTCCCAGCAGCCCTCCCCTAAGTTGGCTGGGAGGAGAAAGAGGAAGTAAGGTAAGTTGTGGATCCCCCCCCTCGCTGCCTTTCCAGGCCCTGGAAAGCCCTCCCTGAACCCCCCCATCTTTGCAGGCCCACGCTAGAGATCTGCATGTTCCCCCCCATAGGTAGCAATGCAAAGAGTCCAGTGGCCCCTTTAAGACCAAGGCTTATTCAGGTAGAAGCTCTCTGTTAGGGCAGATCTGCGTTTGTCCCCCCCCACCATAGGTAGTAATGCAAAGAGTCCAGTGGCACCTTTAAGACCAAGGTTTATTCAGGTAGAAGCTCTCCCTCCTCTGTGAGGGAAGATCTGCGTGTGTGGTCCCCCCCATAGGTAGTGATGCAAAGAGTCCAGTGGCACCTTTAAGACCAAGGTTTATTCTGGTACAAGCTCTCCCACCTTCTGACACACTTTCGGTGATGTCAGGGTGTTTGGCATATGCAAATAAGTTATGCTAATGAGTTATGCTAATGAGCCCATGAACCTATTTTTCTACGAAATGACCCCTGGAAATAGCGATCCACTTGCAAACGATTGCTGAAGTGGACCTGAAAGTGCCTTATTCAGCGCTCACCCAGAGAGACATCCCTTTCATCTTCATGTACTTATTTCATTTGTACCCCACCTTTCTCCCCAATGGGGGGATCCAAAGTAGCTTACATCATCTTCCTCTCCTCTATTTTACCCTTATCACAACCCTGTGTGGTAGGTTAGAGAGGGTTTTGCTGGCCCATGGTCACCAAGCTTCCACCGCAGAGCGGGGATGGGAACCTGGGTCTCCCAGATCCTAGTCAGTTACACTAACCACTACACCACACTGGCTATGTATCATCTGGTTTGGGAGGCTGCAGGGTGAACTAGTCTGTATTTTAATTCTAACACTAGATATATTTCCTAGTTTTGAAGCCTATTTTGAGTAAGCTTGAATCACTCTACTGCAGGTTAAAATATATCTTACATGTTGCATATGTATTCACTGATATATACTAAATTATCTTTTTTCTTTAATTGTTTTCTGTGCTCAGTGATTCTGTGTGTCTTGTGCTATTTTGATTGTCCATCTACTAATAGAAGGTATTGAATTCTTTAAAAGAGATCAGCCAGGTAATGTTTGGGAAAAGTACAACATGCTCAGTAGTTCCAGCAAAGTTACTACTACTGTAATTTCCCCACTTACAGCTTTGGGTCCGGATGTTATACCATAGGTTGGTGGGAGAATACTGTGAAATTGTCAGTAGCAATAATTGCAATAACAAAACTTCATCTGAACTTGATTTGCCAGCGGGCAATCTAAAGGAGTTGGGATAAGATCCTTAAGATTTTCATTACAATTGTGAGATAATTGCTGGCCATGCCATTTGTAAATATTTGCTCAATAGAATTAGGATGCAAAGTATAATGCTGTGATTTTTAGTGGAATAAGATAGGAATACCTCCTCCAAACAGGGGACAAATTTTAACAAAAATCAATGTATGATGAGCTTCTAGAGAGAAATAGCAGAAGGGAAATGGTAATAGCAACGGAGACAAGGTAAAACCAGGTTCTGCCAAAACTACCAGTTGGGCTCAATTAAAAAATGGAATTTTTTTGGAGGCTGTATTTCTTCATCTACATACATCATAAATATGCATATGTAAGGTTGCCTTGCCCTGACCTGGATAGCCCAGGCTATCTTGTCTTGTCAAATTTCGGAAGCTAGCGGGGTTGGCCCTGGGCAGTATTTGGATGGGGAGACCGTCAAGGAATACCAGGGTTGCCATGTAGAGCCAGGCATTGGCAAACCACATCTGAACATCTCTTGCCTTGAAAACCCTATGAGGTCACCATAACTCTGCTGAGACGTGCTAGTAAAAGAGCCTTGTCTAGTGTGCTGTTTTAGGTCCTTTTTTACATTTGCTGCTTTGAGGGCATTTGGTGATTATGGTGCTGTCCTTTATGGTGGGTAATGGATTTAAAGGTTAAAAACCATCAGCCTAATGAAAGCCTTGTCCGTAATTGGGGCTTAAAGGCCTTCAGGATTATGTAAGAACAGAAATTGAAGAAAATAATAGAGCTGAATCCAGATGAACTGAGTTTGGAAGCAACTAAGAATAGAGCTTGGTAATAGTAATAGGGACTGGATGCAGACTAGACGTTGGGAATGTGCTAAAATCTGTTTAGAATGGTGTATTACAGGTAGAACAATCTAGGAAAAGAACTACTGCTTTTATGTGAAGTTCATAATGGGATAGATTATTCAGAATACGGTAGTTTAAAAGGATGAATTAGATGTGCTCTATCTTTAATAAGACTTCAGAATTTTAATTGCAGCTGGTTTCTGTTGCTTCTATACTAGCTTCTTTAAACTGTCAGTCCAGGTCAGTACTTCATTTTTGTAAATGGAAGAAGTCCTTCACATAGAGTTCTATCTTTCTTTGAGAACCATCTGTAAAATGGAAACTATTCTCACTGCTTATTGTGCCACGAAGCATTGTTCTCAACAGCTAATAATGATAGTTCCAGTCACAAAGCCAATGACATTTAGTAAAGTATCAGAACAATACCTCTTCCTTCTCCTACCCCTACCCCATTTGCCAGATCATAATCGTGAGAAAAGGAAGAGGATCACCAAGGAAAAGGGGACTAATATTGCTAGATAGTAGTCAATCATTGTACCGCCATATTTTACTGCAGGCATTTCATTTCACTGGGAACTTTTGGTACCATACTCTTTTGGATTGAAATATACCCTGCATAAATATATGCGATTGGGACTGCATTAAAACATGTGGTGAGATACCTTTCAGCAGTGGTTCTCAAATTTTCTTGAAGTAGGACCACTTCTAAACTTCCTATACTTTAAAAGGTAAAGGTTCCCTTGCTTGAAAGCCAGTCGAATCCGACTCTAGGGTTGCGGTGCTCATCTCCGTTTCAAAGCCGAAGAGCCAGCGCTGTCCGAAGACATTTCCGTGGTCATGTTGCCAGCATGACTAAACACCAAGGCGCATGGAACGCTGTTACCTTCCCACCGAAGTGGTACCTATTTATCTACTTGCAATTTCTTGCTTTCGAACTGCTAGGTTGGCAGGATTTACTTTATACTTTTTACTTTATACTTTAGAACCACTTGAAAAGTAATTCCATGCTAGTTTTTCTCTCCCCAATATGAAATGCAAGAATCTCACATCAGTTTAATGCTGAACAAGTTTATAGTTTGTTTTCTTTATGTTTAGCATATATCATTACTAAATAGTTGGTTTTATTTTGTGGCCATTTTGTGCATTGTACAGTTTGCCATCATGACTCCTGTAGCTCCCCTCCTTCTACCTCACCCACTTCTTCTCTGCTAATGTCATGACCCACTTTGGGGCCCAGACCAGCAGTTTGAGATCCACCAGCTTTTACAACGTATCAGTGCAGTACAATCCTTAGCATTTTGATTTGGCATTATGTGTCGTTTCTTGTTAAGCAGAATAAACTAAGGCTAAGCAGAATATTATTTTGAAAACAATTGTCATCTATAGATGTCTTAAATTTATAGTCATTTGATGCACTGTAAGAGAAAAATACAACATGAGATGGAGTACCTCAATAAAGAAAGCCACAACCTTCAGTTTGCAAGATCTGAGCAAATCTTTATAGTTTTTGTCCAAAATATCATAAAGTGTTCATCTTTATGAGCACTGTTTTCTTCCATTTTCAATAAGCCCAGCTTCTCTCTTCTGTTTTTCCTACAGGAATTCTTGCTAATTGTTCATGCTTTCTTACCAGTTAGATGATGTGTATGTAAAGTGCCATCAAGCTGCAGCCAATTTATGACGAACCCTGAGGGTTTCTGAGGCAAGAGACTAACAGAGGTGGTTTGTTATTGCCTTCCTCTGCATAGGGAGCCTGGAATTTCTTGGTGTGCTCCCAACAAACCAGGGCTGACCTGCTTAGCTTCCAAGATCTGAGGAGATTAGGCTAGCCTGGGTCAAAGGTACCTAGCTTCTTTGGGTGCATTTAAGATAAAATTAGGTTTTTGAAAATATATGGATGCTTTGAATTTGGAATAGATATATATATATATGGTGAAAGGTTACACATAACTCTATGGTAAGATTACATCTCTTCGATAAAAAGATGGAGTAACTGAATTGTGTTTCCTTACCATTGCATATGAAATTCTCCCTTTCCACAGTAACCATGGTTAACTGTAGTCACAGGCTACATTATCACTGGCATTAGCTATTGTTAATCAAGATTACAGGCTAGTTATTAAGTGTGGTTGGGTGTGCACCTTGGTTAGTGTCAGTGCTAACACAGCATTTAAGGCTAGAGAGTGGCAGTGTGCAATCTTGCAGCCCACTTCTGTAGCTGTGGTTACAGGATAGGCTGTGTAATATCTGCACTAGATCTGAGTTGCTTATCTTATATTGATTTGAAAAACACAAACAAATAAGTATACTGTGTCTCGCAAAACCACCTACTGTTTAATTGGCTTAATTAATTAATTAATTTGTTAAATTTATATCCCGCACCTTTTTGCCGAGGCAGGATGATTTATTTACTTGTAGAGAGATTCCTATGTGAATACAACATTAAAATGGTTTTGTAAAATCTGGTTAAGACACTTCAGGAAAAGCATTTGTTAGAACCGAGTACTGAAATAGAGGCAGTGTCCTTAGAATTAGAGATTAAGATTGTCTTCATAAACCAGAATAAATCTTTGTTTTGTCTTTTTCTTCCAGAGACGTGGGGCAATTTCCTATGACAGTTCTGATCAAACTGCATTGTACATTCGCATGCTAGGTAAGTGTGGTCACTGGCTGCAACATCCAGATCTATGTGCGTGGCTTCTTGCTGTCAAAATAGTTGATGTGTACTTGTATTTGCAAATACTGCATTTTAGCACCTTTCCACTTTTATTCTTCTCTCTTCTGCTGCTTTCAATAATTGTTTTGTTGTTCATTGTTGGTTTGACTCTGTGTATTTCAATAGTTGTAAACATGTTCTTTACAGGTTAAGGCATTGAATACGATCATAATGAGAAGGTCACAAAACATGAGATTACAGGTTCCCCAGTAACTCATATTTAACAGGAGATGGATGCAGATGCCACTATTTAATTTTATTTACACTTTAAATATGAAGCACAAATAAAAATTGAAAAACTCGACTGCTTCTTGCTTTAAAAGTTAGCCTTGATTGCTGTATGTTTCCTGTCTCTTCAAACACACAATGGTTATAGCAGAAACTCTGTACATATGAGATTAAGAATTTGTTTTGTCTAAACTGAATTTGAATGACTCATATGAGCAAATATTTTTACAGGAAAGTTTCTGCTTAAGCTGTAAACTAAATAGTGTCATGTGCCAGCAATCTTGAAGTATGATGGCTACAGCAGGAAAAATGAGGGAGAGGAGTTTCACTGTCAGAATTATTGCAGTTGGTTTTCACAAATGTTAACCAGATTTAAGAAAGGTGTAATCTGTATCCATGGAATCAGCTCATATTCATAGACTTTACCTGTGACTGTTGAATCCAGAAGTAAAATTACCGTTGATGGGCTATTGGAAGGTCCCCTAACAATAGCAGATCTTGGAGATCAATCTGTAACACAACCATTTGCAAGTCATGAATCCTAGTCTATATCTGATCACCATTAGTTTATGTAGAGTTACTGATCTATCATAATGCTCCCTCTCCAGTGAGAAAAGTAAGCAAATAGATGGTGCTTTAAAAATGGTGAGGAGTGAAAGTGTTATTCCAAGTCATACGCTTGTTACTGTCCTTCCTCTCAACAGTATACAACATTATTCTTATGCTTACATTTACATCCATGTTTCTGTGTTCCTGTCTCTTTCATTCAGATTGGTTCCCATCCCACTATATATCCCTACTTTAGGGCAGCACCCTATTTGCCAAACTGGAAAACTTTAGAAGTCCTAGCTAGACTTCTGTTGCTTTGCAGCCTCTGGCCTTCCTGCTCATTTTCTTCTTAAGAAATGTCAGAGTTGGCTTCTTACATTCCCTTAGTATCTGTATTGAAAGTCTGAAAAAGTAGGGCATGTTCCCTAGGTAGTCCAGCTTTGGACTTTAGTTTCTGTTGTACTTGGTATTGCAAATGAAACATTTGGTTAAGTATGTAATTCATCATATTAGTACTTCAAAATAAATGGATGTTGAAACATTTACTTGTCCAGGTTTCCAACATTTGGCCTGGTTTTGAAAGTAATTTTAAAATAATTTTTAATTATTAATTATTTATTTCATTTGTAACCCGTCCTCCCCGCCAAGGCAGGTTTTCATGAAGGTATATCATAAAATGCTTAGGTGCTTAGTCTTCTGGTTATCAAAATGAAATTGTAAGTCAGGGAGAAATCCAAGCTTAGTATTTAATGCAGATGACATCCTTTGAGGTAATTGAATAAGATTCCATAACAGTATACACTTTTAAACTGAGAATGATGTGTTAGTAGGGAATAAGCAATACACATAATATTGGCTTTCACTGAGATTTGATCTCTTTCTTTCTAATTAAAGCAGTTGGAGGAAAGATCTTTGTGCCGGATGAAAACTTGAATAGGTTCATAGGATTCAGCCTATTGTCAGATGCTTGAATGAAGAAAAAACAAAATGGAACCATGCCTTACCATCTTGATACTATATGGTAGAGGGAAAATAGTATCTGAATGTTTTAAAGTGAAAATGACATCCAAACTGGAAATTGATTATAAGGGTTTACAAATGTATTAAATCCCTTGGCAGCGACTTATCTTCTGTAGGGGCTGTATTTTGAATTGGGCACTAGCCTGAACTGGAAGCGACATAGGGTCTTATTTTATGAGTAGAGGTTCAAGCAAGGGGCTGTTTGCTGTTCCCAGTCCCATGATAAACAGTAGTGCCAACAGGAATCAAGTTTGTTGGGGTCATCTACTAATGCATTGCTGCTGCTGACTCTTAAGCACCAGCCTAGTGAAAGGTAAATGACCGGTTGAAGTTCATAAGAGAAGAACTGCCAAAATTCTGTTGCTGTTCACACAGGTGAAAGGGGTGCTAAAGAGCCCTTTTCTCTCTGTTTCACCTCATAAAATAGAAAGTAGCTGGGTTCATATTGAACAAGGTCCTTGGGATTTGGGGAGATGTTTGGATCAGCTCCTGCAAATTAAGCCCCTTGGTTACCAGTTGTCAGTCTCTGCATTAATTGAATATCTTAAGACTTTTATCTAGAGGTTCTAGATTCTAGTATGGAGAAATTAATTTTTTAAACTTCTCAATTCTTATCCAAGCTATGCAGCCCATGGAATCGAGTATTGTTAAAATAGTGGCAGGGAATAAAGAGAGATTGCTAATTTTGTAGCATAAAGCAGCATTCCTTGCCCTGATTTATCTCTGTTCATATCGTCTGTGATGTTACTCTTTCTTTCACATGGGTCATGAGCAATGTTCCCTCTAATTTTTGTTCCCTACTGAGTGGAACAGTTCATATCCTGAGCAGAATGTAACTGCTGTAATCTTAAATTGGGCAATGGGCAGGTCAAGACCAATGTTCCCTCTAAACTGTGAAGTCTTGTGAGCAAAAATTCTACTTTGTGAGCTACTGGCATTAAAGTTGTGAGCAAGTGCATAAATTAATTTGCTCTGCAGTCATCCCTCCTGAGCTAAGACAAAAATCTGTGAGCTGGAGGTTAAAAAACTGTGAGCTAGCTCACACTAACTTAGCTTAGAGGGAACACTGGTCAAGACCCTACACGGCCACTCACATGCACATTTTAGAGGGAACATTGAGATACACTGAAAATTTAAATGGGAGGCTTAAAAACCACAAACTTATCAGAAAGCCTGTTTGGTCTATACAACCTTTTGGCCACCTGTACTGGCAGTCTAATCGGGTATGGGTACTATTAAACTCTTCCATCATCCCCTTCTCTGCCTCTACATGTAGAGTGCAACAAACTAATTGAATGTAATGGGTTGGATCCCGTGAACCTTCAGTTGATGGAAGGGAAGAGGGAGTGATTTTATCCACTTACTCCTTCTCACTGCAGCCCATTGACTCGTGGCTTTATGAGGGTCTCACTGTTCCAGAAATCCTGGCTGTGGGGGATTAGGAAGATCTTGGTGTGATTGGATCACTGGATTCAAGCCACTGGCTTGGAACCAGATCTACCACAGTGAAACAAGCTTGTACAAGAAGGTCTCCTCTGCATTTCCCTTTCCAGAGCTTCCCCGTGTACCCCACAAATCCTGTGGTGAGGGTCAAACATCCATCAACAACATGCACTGCATTGGCAGGGAGTCTGCATTTAACAAGGGAGAATTCCTTCCTTTTTTTGTCCGTGGAATAGCTGGTTCAATCCACCACATTGTATGTAACATATACACTTTTATTGAATGAAGACATACAACTTACTTGCTTACCCATTAATCTCACTGGGTGACCTTAGGCTAGTTGCTCTCTTTGTAGTTGAGGAGGGAAAACCTTATATACTGCCCTGTCCTCTTGGATGCAATAAAGGTAGCTGCTACTCTGTTCCTAAGTAAAGAGCATGTTATCGCTTCTAAAGACTTGTCTTTGTTATAGTCCCATAAACACGAACTTAATATTTATTTATTTATTTATTTATTTATTTACATGGGACTTATATACCGCCCATAACCCCTAACGGGTCTCAGAGCGGTTTACAGGGGCGTTCTTACGAACTTGTTAGCCCTATCTAAGGCCACATACCGAAGGGGTGGGGATTCCCTACCGGCACCCTGTGATAGGTCCGCTGCGTTCTTCTGGCTGCTTGGCAGCTCTCCATCTTCGGCGGCTCTCTTTCTCCGGCGATTTTTCTCCACTGGTCGGCTGCATTCTTCTGGGCATTCTAAACTTCAGCTAGAGACTTTTGAATGTGGAAACTTCTATCTTACAGATTTTTATGCTGCTTTTCAATAAAGCTGGTTATTAATGATAAAAACTATTTGATACCATTTTCACATTATAAAAAACAGGCAACAGCAGCACAACTGGCTTCCAAAGACTAACTCAAAATGATATAGTTTCTATATCTTCCTAAAAGCCAGGAGAGAGAGAGACAGACAGACACCTTACCAGACCTTTGATAAATTACTCCATTATCATGGGAAGTTTGCCTAAAAGTCCTTACTTTTTCTACTGGATTTACTTACCTCCTCCAAGAATGGATTCTTAGCAGGGATTGACCTGAAGACCTGAACAGATGGGAGAGTGATCCTCTGAATGTAGAGCTCTAAGAATTGTGTTGGCTGTTTCTTTTTGAAGTAGTAAGAAAAACTGGGTGTTGTGGCTATGCTCAGGCATTATGATAGATGTTGTAACACACTCGTTAATTCTTGAAGGAGAATCTAACTAAATGACACTTAAATTCATTGCTGTAATTACCAAGTTCTGGGGACCAATTTCACATTGTTCTCACTTGGTTTGTCCTGTGGCAGTATTTCTAGTTAATAGAAGTAGGATCAACTTCTGTCAAGTCTGAACAGAAGTGATCCTTGAGTTTTGAAGCTTTTTTTGCAGTATACTTTCCCGACCAGTCAGTGGAATAAACGTTGAACTATAACATTCAAGCAGCAACACATTCCAAATTAAAGAGCTGTCATGTAATAATCCTTAGTACCATAAATAAAAGTTATTTATGAATGTCATTGCCTGTGGTTGAGATCATTTCTTGTATCTATTTGGGATTCGTTCAGATGCAACTTAATTACATCTAAATTTTGTGGATAGTGGATAGTAATAGTGTGAATACTCTATAGCATCACGTTTGTATGTGGAGTTTTGAAACACATAGTTACCCTTTTTTGCTGGAACTCTACAAATTATAGTAGCATGATAGATACCACTGTTGAAGCCATGTATCTGTGACCTTGGAATAATCCTGATAGGGCAGATTTGTGGATGTGCTTCTTAAGATATGTTTGTGTAGTTGCCACTGGCAAATATTCAGGCATATAGATTGGATATGCAGCATCATGTAAAATGCTACATGTGAGTTTGCCTCTGTCTTTGGCATAGTCCTGTGTGTAAAGCAGAGCAAAGCGTTTTTTTAAAAAAGAACAATCTGTGAATTGCATAAAATATTTTCTCATCAGAGTTGAATAACAGTATTAGTCACTCAGAATAAAAAAAGGCTCCTGCATGGAAAGAGGCAGCGAGTTTTACAATCTGATTGCAGCTTTCCCCACTCTATGCTGTGAGAGTCCATCAACTTCCCTGTGCTTTACTGAGTCCCTCAACTTTGGGAGTGGCTTTTAGAGTGGGGATAGTATTTTGGCTGCAGTAGGAAGGGTAGGTCTGAAAGTCCCTGAGTGTGTACAACTGTGGAGTTACCATCTTGGACTTAGGACATCAGTTACGAATTGAGCACAGTGGTTTTAATGTTGAATGTTTATATGTTTTTATTCTGGCATGGCTGTGTGCTGCCCTTGTTAGCCATCCTGAGCCCACCTGGGGAGGGCGGGATATAAATATGAAAAATAAATAAATAAACTCTTTAGATTCTAGCAGTTGCATGTAAATGTAATGTTAAGTCTGTTGCTGTTCTGTCTGGTGTGTTACTTGCATACCGGATGTACTTTCAATGCTTATTTTATTCTGTATTGCATCCTGGGGTCTACCTTTAGTTCTCTATATTCCCTTGAGTTTCATTAACTGAAGAGCTCATGTATACTAAGTAACAAAAATAGGACAAGTTTCTAGGAATATTATGCCATTTCAGTGTTTTCCTTTTTAAGGTGACTATCATCTCACGGAAGAGCCCTTGAAGCATACAGATTTAATTCTGCAAAATCTTTATTACATTTACAGTCACACACACAAACTAGAATGGCATATAGTATCTTCAGCAACACTGCAGACTTCTCAAAATAACTTTGTTCATAAAATATAATCACACAGTAGAAATGTAAAATTTCTGGGAATATTGAATGGGGGGAGTTCCGGTATCTTCAGAAAAATAGAAATGTTGTGAAAAATTGAAATTATGCAGTACTTTAGCAAATCTGAACTATTTTTACAGATTTAACAACATAAAATATACCACTTATAGCTTAGTTAGCATATAAAATTGTACTATTCATCATATTTATGGAATTTAAAAGTATATGTCTTCATATAAGAAAAATAGTATATTTTCTCAATACTTGAGTTGCCAACTTCCATAGCATATCTCATAGCACGTCTATTTTAATTTTGCCACCTGAGAGCAAGAAATAAAGGTTGAAGGCAGAAAACGATTTCTGTAGTAAAGAAAAGTTGGATGGAAACACACTCATACAGTCACAATACATAGCACTGCCAGCATATTTGGATAGTAAGCTTCATAACACTGAAAACACTGAACGCATTATAGCATATTAATTGTTGCCAAAATTATTTACCCTTAAATACAAAACATATTATTGAAGAAGTTGTTTATGTCTACAGTTATACGTAGGTGGTATTATCTAATGCTGTAGATTGTCTTATATAAAAATGTTCATACTACATATTTTGAGCAAAACCTTGTTTTCCATGTCACTCATTCCAAAAGGGTGGAAAAATGTAGGAGTTTTTTGTGTCCCCTGAAATCTCCCAATTTTTCCGTTGTAGAAATTGAAAATGTCTGAGAGCTTTTTCATGCTATACATATTGAGTGAGGAAAATCCTTTCTTAAGAAGCATTTCACTCATTCTTAAGGATTTTATAAGGTTTTTTTTGTCAGTGCTCCCTGAAGTGTCCCAAAATTGGGATATTTTAGGGAGCACTGACAAAAAAAACTTTTTCCATTGGAAGAAGATCCTCAGAAAAAAACAGTCCCCCCCCCCCCGCCTTCACATCTCTGCAAGGCAGTACAAATTTGAACACTGGAATAAAAGCAGTTGTGTAACTGTTTGATTGGCTTATAGTTCAAGTTTAAAATATTAATAATATAATACCTTCCTAATGTGTACAGGATTTTTGGGAATCTTGCAAAGCTTTTAAATTTAGCTGTGATCTTCCCAGGATTCCAAGCAATAGAGTATGTTTGAGAATGTAAATTCATATGAATATATTGCATTTTCTTTTTTAAAAGCTACTTATGTGGTCAGCTTTTTAGTAATAATACTTATTTGAGGCGACTGCTTAGCTGAAGTATAAAAATATTTTAATCTCTAGATCGTTAATACTAAGTTTTGGTATTTTAATAGGGTCTTGTGTAATATTCAAACAGCTGAACGCAAGTAAGTAATCTTTGGCAACAATTATAATTGTTAAAGTTGTTAATATAAGATTATTATAGTTTAACTGACCATTTTGGACAACTTTATGGTGCCATGGAGCAAAAAATAACGTTTTACCACTTCTTCCTATATGGTGACATAGCTTAGCATATGCAACTTCATCTAAGTACGTATGCATTTGGCTGTATGCTAAGGCAGGAAACAGTTCAATGAAGAGCATGCAATCACAAGCTTGAAAAGTCTTCAAACTTTATTTTGAAATATCAGCTATTAAGTCAATAGATATTGAATAGGTTTGTTGTATGACTGTTACACGACATACATATACACATTGCAACTGTACTCAGTTGCAGTTTTCTCTGTAGCTCTTCGACACAGTGTATTTCACTCTTGACCCTATTTCTAGGAGATGTACGAGTAAGAAGTCGGGCAGGATTTGAAACAGAGAGAAGAGGTTCTCATCCATACATTGATTTCCGTATTTTTCACTGTAAGTATTTAAATAATAGCCGAAAAATAATGAAGAATACAATTTGTTTTTGGCCGCGGGGCTTCAAGTACTTAACTGGTTTTAAAATGGAAATTAACATTTTTCTTAATTTCCTGCAAAAGTAATAATTTCTGCTTCAGAAAATTATGCATAGATAATATGCAGGATAGTATAATACTTTTCTAAATCCACATGATACTGTGCTGAAAATATAATACTCTCTTGGCACAAGTAAAACATCCAGATTCTCTAGCATGCTGTATACCTGGCTAAATAGAATGCTGGACCTCATTTCATGGAACCTTATTCATGACCACTTAACTATTATAATCACCAATACCTATTTACTAATACCATATCTGTATGGTAATCATGGATGGAACACAATAGTAATTGCTTTGTAAGCTCTGTTATTTGTCTTCCTACCCCATGCTTGACTGTTTATAAAAGGGTATTTATGATTCTGTAATTCATGTTCAGGAGTTGTTTTATATAATTTAAAATTATCACAGTAAAGTCCCCAATGACTATGCAGCTTTCAATTCTTACTTGAAAGAATTCTCCCCCCCCCCCCCCCAATAGTGGTCTTCAGGACTTTCAGGTAGGTCATAGAGCCCTTTCTTCTGGGCCAGAAGCCTTTCTAGAGCTGCCCCCTTTTTATATCTGCGGAGAAGAGAGCAAGGTTGTGATGCCTTCTGGCTCTCTTTGCATGCATGCTAAGGGCCCAAAGATGGTCCCCTTAGGGAAACACTGCCATTTTATAGCAGTGAATTCCCACTGGGGAACTCCTTTTAGCGGTGTCACAGGGGGCCAGTTCTGGTTGAACCACTGTGTGTGTGCATGTGTGTATGAGTGGGGGACTTGTTCATTTGATGCCTGAATGACTTAAGAAGGCCCATATGGGGTGGGAGAAGAACCTCCTGTCATAGTCACAGCTGTGCTACATTCTAGCTGTGCTACAAGAGGGTAGGGACTCCCTAGCCTTACCATAAAATCAGACCCCTGTCCAGAGAGGCCCTCCTCTTACAACCAGTCCCTACCTTGTGGCTTTGGCACTCAAAAAGAATCAAGCCCAGTGACAACCAAGTTGGGTGACCTGTCTGCCCAGGAGAGGCTGCCATGCCATTCTGCAGCAACAGCAGATAAACAACGTGGGCAGATACCCTCCAGTGCAATTTTGGGTCAGAAAAATGGCACATGGTGGGGGAGGTAGGACCCTTTTCTTCCCAGTGTTGCAGTGGTCCTAACCAGAATCACCCCCACAGAGTTCCCTAGTGGTAACTCACTATGGTGACTGCATCCTAGAGGTAGACTTGCGGATGTCATCTCATCTAGTTTGGCCTTGAGAAGAACAACAGTATGGTGAGGTGAGGTCACTTCATATTGCAGGAGATTCCTCCATGGCTCTGACCCTGGTCTTATGCTATCCCCGGGGTTTTTTAGTTTGTTGCCCATAATCCTGGCCTTGAACCTAGCAAGGGCATAACTCTGGCTTTCCATTCCTGTCACATGACTCTGTCATGTAACTTCGTTTCACAGTTTCGCAGCAAAATGAGTCCCAGGTCTGGTCTTCTCATTCTAAGGAGTCTTGCTCTTAATAACAGCTGTTGTTCAGGAAGTCTCATATACTTTAGCTGATTAGCTGTTCTTTCCTCAAAATAAAGCTTGGTCTAATTAAAAAAGGCAACCTGAACCCAATTGCAGTGCTTTCCATTGAGACTTTTCCTATGATAATGAGACATGTCAGAGAGCATCATTGTCATGACAAGTTCCAGTGGCAAAAGGCTTTCTTTCTTGTCTTAAAACATTTTTGTGATGTCCCTTTCCCCAATTCACTGGCTTTAATGTTTGGTAGCATGAACTGAGTGATTGTAGCATGTCTGGGCAACCAGTATGTTTAGATGGAAGAGCTGATATTTGCTCTATACACATGTCATGAAGGCTTGATGTAGAACTATAGAAAATCTGCAAGTAGTAATAAGTAATGCTTATCACTAACCTCACCATTCTGGGCTGGGAAGCAGCTCAGCATTTTTTAAACATTTGTGAAATATGAATAGATCTTCTTTTGATGCCACTTAAAAGAATATTCCACATTTCAGTTCCATAAGTGGGTCACCCAGTATCACCTCGTAGGAAAATTATAGAGTTATATCTAAGATGTAAAGTATTATAATAACTCACACAGGCATTTAACAAATATTTTCTCTGGTGGTCCTGGGAGTGGGGCAGTCTTTACTCCTGGGATTAGGTCCTCCTCTGGAACAGGGTCGGTTTCCTCAGATCAATCCAGGAAGGGGAGGGGCCTGTCCCCTGGGAACATCCCAGTCTTACTGGCCCTGCTGCTTGAGCAGGATGTGTTTCACAGGCGCTCTGTAGAGCGCAGCGATCCAGAAATGAGAAGAAGAGAGGGAGAAGGGAGAGACCCTCCCTCTTCATTATTTCGAGCCGCAGTCGGCAGCAGACCACGAAGGAAGCCAATGGCACTGGGAAATCCCCAGCAGCCAGGGCTGTGTACGCAGACTCCCACTGGGCCCAGCCTGTGGCTGGAGGTTGCCTCCCGAATGAACGCACATCAGGGGAAGCAGCTGAGTCTGCAAGGAGATGGTGGCGACGCTGCAGACCCGGCAATCTCCCCGATCTCGGAGGACCCAGTGTGTAGTGGAACAGACAAGCCAGGAGCCTCGCCAGAATCATGGTACAGGGCCAAAAATCCTAGACTGGAGGTGAAGGAGGGCAGGGTGGTAGACTGCAGAAAACCCCCAAGCAAACCCCCAAGCTATTCTGGGTGGATGAAGAGGAAATTGATTCCTGGGGCTTCCAACCTCCCCAACCTGGGATAGGCTGGATTAAAGAGCCCTCCCCGCCTTTTCCCTTCAGGGGGAAAGTTGCCATGGAACAGACCGGGAGCTAGAAGGCCAAGGGAAGGTCATAGAAGGGTGGGGAAAATGGTGGTGGTCATCTTGGTTCCCTGGACCCTCATGGCAGACTTACTTTTGCTTTCACTCCCAGGCAAGCAAATGGAAAATGTCTCCCAGTCAGACCTGCCAGTTCCCTGTGGCCAGACCTGGATAGCCCAAGCTAGTTTAATCTGTTGAGATCTCAGAGGCTAAGCAGAGTCAGCCCTGGTTAGTACTTGGATGGGAGACCACCCAGGAAGTCCAGGGTCGCTACGCTGAGGCAGGCAAGGGCAGCGGCCCTGGCCTGGATGGCCCAGGCTAGCCCAGTTTGATCAGATCTTGGAAGTTAAGCAGGGTCAGCCCTGGTTGGTTTGCCAGCTCTGGCTGTCTCTTGCCTTGAAAATGATACATGGCTGCTGCTTGATAGCATTTCCACCACCTCCATTGTTTGCCAGGGAGAGGCTATAACAGATTTTTTTTTGGGGGGGGGTACACTTAGCAAGTCAGATCTCTTCAGATCATAAGCCTTACAGTCCCCGCAAGACTCTATGGAGAACCAGGAAACAGAGGTAGCAAGGATAGCTCAGGATAGTATGAGCTCATCAAATACGCACAGTCAGCCCTGGTCAATATTTGGATAGGAGACCACCAAACAATGACAGAAGCATGACACAGAGGCAGGCAAGGCCAACCATCTCTGAACATCTCCTGCTTGAAAACCCCAAGGGTTCACCATAAGTGGGTGTCAACTATGCTGCCATGAAGGTTGGGGAGGTTGGTCTGTGTCTGGTTAATTGCTATTGCTTTCATTTCAGGTTAATTGCTACTGCATTCCTTTCTGTGCTGTCTCTGCTGTGCGCCGAAACGCTTATCTATACAGATGCGCAGGAGGGTGTTGTGGTGTCTGGGATTGCCCTAGGTGCCGTGGGAGAGTGTTAGTTCTCAGCTTCAGCTACCTAACGGTCTCTAAGCCTTATCCCGTGCGCGGGAGGGTGCCTAATTGGCCAGTGCTGTGGGGGTGTGTGAGTGCACAGTGCCTATGTTACTGCATCTATAGCTGTACAATAAAAGTATTACCGTTCCTGAATGCATGTACTTCGTTGTTGGCTGTGGGTTCTGACATTGGGCTACAACTTGATGGCTGCAAAAAGTCCAGGAAGGACTCAGACTCCCCAGTTCTATCCTCAGAGAGGGTAGAATGGAAATGATCAGAGGAAGGAGAGGAAGTAGTACCAACAATACAGTCCTGGCTATTCCCTCAAGAGTTGTACATGGGATTACTTTCCAGGTACTTAGAATTTTCTCCAGACCTAAGGAAAACGATGATTTTGACCCAGAACTTCCAGTGGAATCTGGCCAGCTGATGTACACAACTGGCAGTACCACAAGCAGGGATGCCAGCCCTGACCTGGATGGCCCAGGCTCAACCACGCTTGTCAGATCTCAGAAGTTAAGCAGGGTCAGTCCTGGTTAGTACTTGGATGGGAGATAACCAACGGAAGTCCAGGGTTGCTACACTGAGGCAGGCAATGGCAAGTCTCTTCTGCTCCTCTAACTGGCCGCAGTGTTTTATAGTAGGATGAAGGCAGAGTGGGAACACCATTCCAAGCTAAAAAACTAACAATCAGATTTTTTTTCAAGTTTTATTCCCTGATATCAGAAGCTACCAAGAGACTCAAGGTGCTAATGGTGGACAAACCTGGGACTAGCTTGACCGCCAACCAGTTCTACATATGGATGCAGATAGGTTGTCCAAGACCCCAGTGATAGGGGATTTGAGCAAGCCTTACACAAAGACTTCGAAGTATCAGTCTGAACTCCATTCTGCCATGAATGCTTGCTGCCTGACTTTGGGCCAGTCACCCATTCTCAGCTTAACCCTTTGTCACAGGGGGGCTGTTGGGAGAATAAAATAGAGGAGGGGCGAAAGATGTAATCTGCATTGGATCCCCATTGGGAAGAAAGGTGAGGTATAAATATCTACAAAGAAAGAAATTATGTGATGCTAAACTATGGTTGCAGTAGATCATGGAAAGGGGAAGGGAAAAATTGATAGGTGTGGCAGAGTGTTCCTGCTCTGGCCTGCAGGCCTTATTCCAC